TCGGGTGAACATTTTCAGTACTGTGGTTTCTTCTTTTATAATGTCCTCAGAGGTATCAAATGTTTGTATTTTGAAGATGGTTTGGATTGTATCATCATTCTAAAGCCTTATGTGGTTTATAAAATAAATACATGATAAAGTTAGATGCAATCAATTTTTAAATGAAAAAGGAGATACCTCAGCCATAAGAAAAGATAAAATACTGCCATTTGCAACAACGTGGATGGATCTGGAGATTATCATGCAAAGTGAAATAAACCAGATAGGAAAAGTTGAAAACCATATGATTTCACACATGTGTCGGATATAAAAGTGAAAGCAACAAATGAGCAAGACAAACAAAAACTCTGATAGAGACAGAGGGAAAGGGGAGAGGGGGAGGTAGATAAGGATAAAGGGGGTCAAATATATGATGATGGAAGGAGACTTGACTTTGGGTGGTGAACACACAATGCAATATACATATGCCTTATTACTGAAGTTTACATTTTAAACCTATATAATTTTATTAACTAATATTACCCTGATAAATTTAAAGAACAAAAGACGACACAGGAAAAAATATACATTCTTTAATTTCCAATTTAAATGCCATTCATCAAAATTTCCAAAAAGGTGGGCGAGAATTTTGATAAAGACCAAAAACCTATGGAGGTGAGGAAAAGAGTTAAAAAAATAGAGAGTGAAAAAAAAATTCAGGAGAAAGGAAGTAAAAAATAGCATTAAACGTAGGCAGGAAAATACTTATAAACAGACATTATACTTACCAGACTTAAATATTATTCACCTAAGTTAATTTCTCTGAGTTTAGAAAAATAGCTACCTTTTATTTTCTGCTTCTTGTTTATGCTTCGTCATCTAGGATTAGAATTTAATTCCTCAGAGTCTAAGCCTGTGTGAAATTAAGAGGTGTATTAGCTTTCTATCACTGCCTTAAAAAATTATAACACACTTAGTAGCTTAAAACAACCTGAATTTATTATCTTATGGTTCTGTAGTTCAGAAGTCCAACACAGATCTCATTGGGCTAGAGTCAGCAGGGAGATATCTGTTCTGGAGGTTCTAGGGGAGAATCTCTTTCCTTACATTTTCCAGCTTCCAGAGGCCATCCACATTCCTTGGCTCATGCCCCTTTCTTCCGACTCAGAGTCATCAACGTTGCATCTCTCTGACCCCACTTTTGTCACATCTCTTTCTCTCTTCTTCTTATATCTCCTCCTTATTTACTTTTAAGAACCCTTGTGATCATATTCTGCACACCTGGATAATCCAGGGTAATATCCTACTTTAAAGTACCTAACTTAATCATATGTGCAAAGTCCTTTTTACCACGTAAGGTAACATATTCATAGGTTCTGGGTATTAGGACATGGGCATTTGGAAAGGGGTCAGTATTCTGCCTACCACACAAGGTTATATTTATAATCCCATCCTCTGACTGCCACCTCCTATCTCTCATACCCTGATTCTGCAATCCTTTGAGCGCTTTGGAGACCTTTACTAAATCAAATCTACCAGTTTTTCACTGTGCCTCATTTATTCGATGTACTCTCTTCCCTCAAACTAAATTCCATTGGTTGTCATTACAATCCTTATGTATATCCTCTACTCACTTTCTCCTCTATTGTTACACTCACTTGGCAAAACTCCAACTCTGGTGTCTCCAACTCTCTCCCTAATCCATCTTTGTTCTTATGTAGCTAAATACAGCTAGAGGAAAACAGCCTTGCTGATCAATCTCCTATTTTTAAAAAAAAAAAAAAAAAAAAAAAGGAAAAAAGGGCCTTTCATGCTACCTGACAACGACATGCTATTTTCCTAGTCTCTTCACTTTCCCACTTTCATAGAAGCCTATTTTAAGCTTTCTCTTGTCTTGTCAAAACTTTTACATCTACTTCTCCATCCTCGCTCTCGGCTCATGACTTGACTCTTTCTTCTCTGAGAAATGCAAAGCAAGCAGAAGAGAGCTCTGCAGAATCTCATGGATCTCTCCACAGATTAGCTTCTGTGTCCTCACACTCTTCTTCCTAATGGATTTTTGGAATGAATCCAGGCAGTTGTGACCTTGCATGTGGAAATACATCTTTATTTCCATGAATTCTTAACTGAAATCTAGCATTTCCTTCAACTGTGATGTAGGTAGTAAACCATAGTAAATCACCTATGCTTTTATCACCAGAAAACATCATAAATATATTTATACCACAAAACAGTTTTTGCAGATATCTCAGAATATTGTAGATGCACTTATCACTACTTTAAATTATGGTAGTTATTAGATCCACTGCCAGATCTTATTATTTATAACATTAATAAAGGAGCACATGCATTAGGGTATCACAGATTTGATTTTTGAAATTATTTAATAACTGTGTTTCAATAAAATTAGTTTTCTTTGTACTCATGTATTTTTAGCATTGAAAAGCATTCTGAGAAGTGTCCATAGGCTTTATTTATTAAAAGATTCATGGCATAGAATAGGATTAAGAACCCCTTAATTCTCTATAAAGGGACTGTCCATGCTCCTATCCAACTCATCCCTCTACTTGAGCAGCACTAGATCCTCTCTCCTCTTACCCACTATGCAAGACGTCCTCTTTTGCCCCTCCAGATCTATCCTCTCTTCCTTGGTCCAGGCCCTGGAGCTGATCCCTGTGGACAGCATTAACCAGGTTTTCTTGTATTCTGATTTCTGCTTGGATTCAGATGAGAAAAGGCTCCAGAAAGACATAGAAGGGTGGGGTGAGGGAGAAGTTGGGATATTTATTCATCCGCAATCCCTCCCCACAGCTTTGGGCTTGCAGAAGCTCTGTTCTAACTTTAGCTGAACAATCCTTTTCCATTGCCAAAGCTCCTTGTCTGGATTCAGATCATTGTTCTTGATTTTCCTCCTCAGAGGGACCTCCATCTGTGGTGAATACCCAGTGATTCACCATCCCTTGGGAGCTTCCCATAAGTCAACTCATCTGTAATAGCCTCGTCAGTCTCCCTCTTTTGAGTGTGCCATCTACTTTCCACCAGGACCTTGACTACTACTCGAACTCAAAGAAATGCTCCCAGCATCTCTCCCTTCACTAAATTTATTCTTATAAAGAAAACAGTCTTTCAAACCAACTTCTCTGACAGCCAGACTCACTGTCTCCAATCTTCTCCTCTAGATTAATCTTCAACAAACTCCAATTGGGCCTTTGCCTCCTCCCCACTAAAATTGCTCATCAAGATCACCATTGATCTTCATATTGCTAAACTCAACAGTCATTTTCAGTACTCATTTGTAGTTCTAATGGCAGTATTTAACACAATTGTTCACTCTCTCCTCCTTGTTATGTTTTCTCCTTGGCTTCTAGGACCTCAAGAAATTTTTCCCCTAATTTATCCTTTACTCCTTCTCAGTCTTCTCTACTGATCTTCCTCTTCCACGCTCAGTTCTTAGCCTTTTAAAAAATCTAAACTCATTTAATTAGTAATTTAATAAACAACACTATTTCTAACATGTAGTTTACTAATTTATCAAGCTTATTAATTGCTGTCTCTCCACCAGAACATAAGCTCCTCAAGCCTAGGGATTTTTGCTCGTTTGGTTCTTGGGTATTTCCCAAGTGTCCAGGACAGTGCTTGACACATGCTTATTTTAAATTTAATTAGATGGTGACTATTACTCCTCATATACAGAGTAACAACTATAACTTTTTCCTTTATTCTTGAATAAAATATAAAGGAATAAATACCTCAACTCTGAGGAGTAGAGTGAAGATATAAAATGGAGTCACTATGGTCAAGCTGCTAAATCATTAAAATAAAGTAGGCTGAGGCATGAGGAAACAATTCTATTCTTGCATCAACTAGTCAGGAAGTTAAACTTCTGAACTTTCCAGTCATGCGTCAGTATCTGGATGTATGTCAGGCCATTGTGCACTAATGCCTGGACATACATCAAACACTCTCATGACTATCTGACCTCAAGAAGAAATTGTTTCATTGTCTAGACTGGACATCTGAAGATTAGCACCTTGGACCAACCCTGACACTAAGAATGCAGGACCGATTCTTCTCAAGAATGTTCTTTTTGTAAGAACCCTCGGCTTTTCTTTCTCCTTTGAAACACTTCCAGGTTTTGCTTAACTGTGTTTCCAGTTTGCAAACACTAGGATCCTTTAATAAATCTTTGTCGTGTACTTTCTAGCAAAGCCTCCTGACCATTTTTGAGTTCATTTGACAACTTATAATGGAAATATTCATCTTAAATATAAAGATGAGGGAGTGCAGTAAAATCAGTAAATATGACAGTAAATAAAATTTAACTTGTAGTACATTAAAAACATGATAAAAAATTAAACTTCAACATATATGATAAATATGAAATTATATACCTAATATATAATGATTTCTTATAAATCAATAAAATAAATAATGATACAAGTTTAAAATAGTGTGTAAAAGACATGGAAAAATAATTCACTAAATAAAACGACAGAAAATATAAACCAACCGTTAATCACACTGTAAATTCAAACCACAATGTCATGTCACTTTTGATTATAAAAAAATAAAATTATACTTTAATTAATCTCTGACCCAGTAATTCCACTTCTAGGACCCAATCCCAAATAATTAAATAGCTATATAAATGTGTTTTATTTAAGGATGTTTATTGAAGCACTATTTATAAAAACAACCTAAAATTCCCACAATAGAGACAAGCTTAAATTAAGTATGGAACACTCATACCATGGAACATTTTACAGCTGTTCAAAATCACAAGTTCTCAATGACAGGGAAAAATGCTTAAGCCATATAGTTCAGGGTTTTGTTTTGTTTTGTTTTGTTTTGTTTTGTTTTTTAAAAAAAACAAGATACAAAGCTGTACATAGAGCAGAACTTCAAAATTTCAAATACAAATACTTATAGATACATA